CTTTCGTATGTGTGTGTGCGTGTGTGTGTGTGTAGTGTGTGTGTAAAATATTGTTGTGGTAATATCTATAAAACTTTGAGCGTAATATATATAAATACATATCTATGAATAAACACACCAGACGCGCGCACGCACACGCGCGCGCACACACGCACGCACGCACACACACACACACACTCACACAAACACAAACACAAACACATACACACACACAGACGCACGCACACACACACACAGACACACTCACACTCACAGGCACACACACACACACACACACACACACACACACACCACACAGATACACACTCACACACCACACACAGATACACACACTCTCACACACCCATAGATACACACACACAGATGCACTCACACATACAGATACACACTCACACACACACACACACACACACTCACACACACACACACACACACTCACGTTCACTCACACTCACACACACACACACACACACACACACACACACACACACTCACCACACACACACACACACACACACACACACACACACACACACACACAACACACACACACACAACACACACACACACACACACTCACACACACATTCACACACATTCACACTGACACTCACACACACTCACACTCACACACACACACCACACACACACACACACACACACACACACACACACACACACACGCTCACACACACATACATATACAGTATATATATACATATATACATATACACACCACACACCACACACACACACACACACACACACACACACACACACACACACACACACACACACACACACACACACACACACATATATATACATATATATACATATACATACATATACATATATATATATACATATACATATATAATATATATATATATATATATATATATATATATATATATATATATATATATATATATATAGTTTCTGTTTCATCAGATCACATTCATCAATACATTACACCTACTCTGTACACAACCAACTGCTGACACCTACAGCATCTTACAAGTACCTTAGAGTTCATCTTACCTTTAACACACAAACAAAGCTAACAGAGCACTGTTTTTTTTGGAGAGGAACCTATACAACTGTGCATACGACATCAAGCACGTAGCTTACAATGTACTTGTACGCAATAACACTTGAGTGCTGTACGGCTGTATGAGACACTTACAGCAAGCACAAAATTAAGAAGCTCGAACAGGTTTATTATACCCAATTACACATGTATTCCTGGCATTACAACTCGCCACACAAAATACATAAATAAAAAAATAAAGAACTGCTCGAGACACGAAGACAAGCACACACACAAACATGTACAAGATTACAAATAACCTTATAGATATCAACAAACACGAATGATTATAAACAGCACATACACGCAACACGCATGGCATACGTGTCGGGAACAAGCTACCCTAACACATCATTGAGGTAAAACCGCTCACTGCCTTCATTGACAAACACCAACACTGCCTCTTACACCCAGCAACCAATCACAAATATACGTGATATGCGTTTACCAGCGCATCTGCGCATTATTTATCGAAATCGTGTGTGTGTGTGTGTGTGTGTGTGTGTGTGTGTGTGTGTGTGTGTGTGTGTGTGTGTGTGTGTGTGTGTGTGGTGTGCGTGTGCGTGTGCGTGTGTGCGTGTGTGGGTGTGGGTGCGTGCGCGCGTGTGTATTTGCGTGGTATTATCTAGTTCTTACCTAATTGTTTCAATACGGGAGAAGAGCTAAGCTCATCTGCTGTATTTAGATGTCGTAACCTTTTAAATTGATGCACATTTTTGGCACACACTACGTTTTTGGGGAGACTTCCATGCTTCAATAGTTCTGATTGGGAAACTATTTTTTTTTACATCTTTATTTACTGTCAACTTTTTGTTGTGTCCTCTCGTCCTTCTTGTGTTCAAGATTAAAAAGTCCTCTTTATCTATCCACTCTTCCAATAATACAGTTGAACAGCATAATCATGTCCCCCTTTTCCTATTTCTGTAGTCTATCTTCGTAACTCAAATATCTTAGAGTAGGTGTCCATCTTGTGGCCTCTCTTTGAACTCTTTTTACTTTGTCAATATCCTTTTTTAAGTGTGGACTCCATATCACTGCACTGTACTTAAGACTTGGGCTTATGATTGCTATAATGATATTTACCATATCTTCATCCACATACACAAATGCCCTCTTCATGTTGGCAATCAGTCCTAGCATTTTGTGGACCTTTTCATTTATATGATCATTTAGGTACAGGTTTCTATTTATGATTACCCCCCCAAGATCTTTTTCCCTGCCAGCTGTGTTTAACATAACGTCTCCTAATTTATATTGGAATAGTGGGTGATTTCTACTTTCTCCTAACCTGACTACGTGGCATTTATTGGTATTGAATTCCATTTTCCATTTACAACTCCCATGTGAATAAGTTCTCGGTGTCACTTTGGAGATATCTTTTATCCTTTTTTTTTTGTATCTTCGCGGTATCTGCAAACATATTTAGACCCTAACACATTGACGAAAATAATAACATAATCGGCGTCAACACCGATCCTTGAGGCACTCCGCTGGTTACTCGTCGCCATGTAGAATGCTTCCTTTTAATTACAGTGCTCATCTGTATCATGAAGTAAGTTTTTTTTCTATCCATACAAGTAATTCACCTTTCACTCCACATAGGTGCTCTAATTTCCGTAGTAGTCTTTTGGGAGACACCTTATCAAAAGCCTTTTTAAGGTCCAAGTACACACAATCCACCCAGCCATCTCTTTCTTGTAATATTTCAGATACTCTATCATAAAAACAGAGGAGATTTGTTACACATGACCTTCCTTCTTTAAAACCAAATTGTTTATTTGATATCTTCTCGTGTTCATCAAGTATTTCAACCGATTGTTTCCTAATTATCATTTCTAGGAGCTTGCATACTACACTAGTTAACGAAACTGGTCTATAATTTAGTGGGTTTTGTTTGTCGCCGCTCGTATAGAAGGGTGTAACATTAGCGAGCTTCCAACTTTTTGGTAGTTTACCTTGTCTCAGTAAATTTTGGAATATTAACAATAAAGGAGTACATAGTTCTTCAGCACATTTCATCTGGTCCCTCTGCTTTAGTCTTGTCTAATCCTTTTAGTAGATCTTTTATTTAATTCTTTCTGAGGGTGATATTTTCGGTTCTTTACGTTTGTACGGGTATTTGCCATATCAAAGCATGGATCCTGAACAGACAATGACTGAAAATTCTCCTTTAGGATTTCACACATTTCTTCCTCCTTAGAATAAATAATGTTATTGTCTTTGATGGCGCTAATTTGATCTCTACTCTTAGTTTTACTATTTATGTAGTTATTGAAGAGTTTTGCTTGACATGTACATTTGTTGGTTCTACCCCTTTCAAAGTATAATTTCGCCCCTCTCATGGTTTGGGTATACTCATTTCTTCTACTTTATATCTTTCATACGCTGCCTGAGATCTATGTCTTCTAAATATTTTTCAAAGGAGCTGCTCGTTTTCTCTCATTTTCTTGAATTTGTCATTGAACCATTTTTTGGCCATTTCTTGCTTAAGTTTTGATTTTTTATATGAATTTTTCCACTCCTTTTTATAGACCTCACAAAATTTTGAATACTGAACATCAAGGTTTTCATCGCCCAGAAGTGTTTCCCCTCAGCGCCACTCACGTCACACCAAGATTCTGTCAACCATCACTTCAGAAAGATAATCACAAACACGATGGTTTGCCTTGCAAACAGCGCGCTTGAGGTTTGAATATTTCACTGAGGTTTTCCCATTACACCTGCGAAGACTCGGACTCGGACTAGACACATGTACCCCGTCCTTACTAAACGGCGTGTGTGCTCATCCAACGAGTTAATGTTTACAGTCTTGAGTAATAAAAACACTGGGATGGAACGAGTGACATACTATCAAAAGCTCAAGGCTTCTGTAATCACTTCTTTTGTGATTGTACTTTTCCTTTCTTTCCTTGTTTACGATGAGTTTCTTTTGTAGCAGACAGTATTTTAGTTTAATCACTACATGGTCGCTTTTTCCTAAAGGAGGACAGTACTCGATATCCTATAATAATCGATATCATCGTTATGCTTTGTGAATATTAGGTCAAGCATAGACGGCCTACCTAGCCCTCGTATCCTGGTATAATCTGTTACATTCAGGGAAAAGGAATACTTATTTAGCATTCCACGAATGTGGTCGCGCTCCGGGATCGAAACTTTCCCAGTTCATAAGAATTTGTTTTGCATTGGTTTGCGAAAGTTGTAGCACTTCATCCGGGCTCTTTAATGTCTCTTGAATTAGTTTTTGGTAATTTTCTTGTGACCACAGCGATGTACGTGGTAGCATGTATACCGTGGTTATTATTATGATTACCCCGTTTGTTTCTACCTACATTACCTTCAGTTCCACTATGGGGTCTTGATTAATTTCTAACGCCTTTGTAATAATTCCTTTCCTTGTTAATATTGCTACCCCCCCCCTCCTCTACTTCCATCTGTCCTATTTCTTCTTCAAATATTATAGTCTCTAAGTCCTAATGTTACATCGTCTATCGAGGATCTAGTTTGGTTTCACTGATGCATATTACATCTGTTTTATTCATTTCAGTTATTGTCTCTAACCATCAATATTTGTATAATCTATTTCTACATAATCTTTCGGTATTCATTTTGGCTGCAGGTTTAGTTTGTCTCTCTAAATTTTGGTTCTGATAATATATTTACTTTGCTTGGAGACCTTCCACCCTCCAAATAAACAAGTCTTTTTGTGTGTATTCATGCGTGCGTGTGAAGTTCAGATTCGAAAAATTAATGTTTACCCTGAAATTATACCTTTTCTGTGATAAATCGAATATAGAAAACGGATTAATGGAGTAAATAAAATATTCTTGTGTGGCATGATAATAGACAAATTTATCTCGAGAGTTTGAAACGCATTTGCTTAGTACATTCCTGATTTTTTTTACGCCCGTTATCGATTTGGACGACGAAAACTTCGCAGTCTTCAGATTCAAACCATTCAAAGGACATTGTTTAAACTTTCCTTACGTAATCTCTTTCAATTACTTGGGTCAGGGCCATCGGAAGGTAACTTAGTGCTGTTGGAAGTTATTTATAAATAGATGAAAAATAAGTATTATTAATATTTTATTACATTGTAAGGTTTCCCGGTTAGGCCTATAATCTCACCTAATCTAATTGTGTGTGTGTGTGTGTGTGTGTGTGTGTGTGTGTGTGTGTGTGTGTGTGTGTGTGTGTGTGTGTGTGTGTGTGTGTGTGTGTGTGTGTGTGTGGTGTGTGTGTGTGTGTGTGTGTGTGTGTGTGTGTGTGTGTGTGTGTGTGTGTGTGTGTGTGTGTGTGTGTGTGTGTGTGTGTGTGTGTGTGTGTGTGTGTATATGTGTATTTTTTCATGTATGTGTGTATGTGCATGCATACATGTATTTTCGTGGGTGTAGGTGGATAGTTCAGTTCGTGCGTGGGTGCGTATGTTTCATTTTATATCATTTATGTAAATCTTTTATGAATATTTATTGTAGGTAGTTACACCTCAGAATTATGGACCAAACGGCAGAAGCAAATCCCAACCGTCCAGAGAAAGATAACCTTCAGCCCCAGACCCCGAAGAGAGAGCACAGCGCTGTTGGCCAGATGGAGGAGGAGGCAGGAGGGGCCACAGCCAACGAGAGCAGAATGGGCGCGTCTTCCCTGGCCACTGATGGAGAAAGCTCAGTGGATGAGTATGCCGAGTATGCAAATCAATCATTAATATATATGTGTGTGTGTGTGTGTGTGTGTGTGTGTGTGTGTGTGTGTGTGTGTGTGTGTGTGTGTGTGTGTGTGTGTGTGTGTGTGTGTGTGTGTGTGTGTGTGTGTGTGTGTGTGTGTGTTGTGTCGTGTCGTGTCGTGTGTGTCGTGTGTCTGTGTCTGCATGTATTTATGTATGTATGTGTCTGTCTAACAGAATCTATTATGATTATAAAACTGAATATATACATTTTTATCCCAAGTTTCATGAATGTCATATGAAAGTAAAGTCCAATATATGACTTGAGTAGATTCTTTTCCTTTTTTTTTTTTTTTTTTTTTTTTAAGTGGTAAGAAATAAACAACTGTATGGTGTTGATCAGTTTTGTTATTTTTGCATCTATGTAGGGCTAAATTTTGCTATTTAATTTTGGCACTCTGGGAAAGACCAATAAATCTTCACAGATATTCTGGTTAAATGTTATTTTGGACCGGCTTAATTTTTTTATGGTTTATAATGACGGAGGTCTTCAAACTAAACCTTGCTTTCAGTGGATTATCTTAATATTGATTTTTTTTTTTTTTTTTTTTTTTTAGAATGTTTTGTCTATATGTATGTTTTTTCCATCTCGTGTTATCTTTTTGTGATTACCTGTTTTGGCTTCCTATAAAAAAAAAAAAAAAAAATAAAATAAAATAAATATGTTTTCTTCAACAGGCTAACAGATGCCATTGCATTAGATTGTGAAATGGTGGGTGGTGGCAAGAGAGGAAGAGTATCTATGCTAGCAAGGGTTTCTGTTGTAAATGAATACGGCGTAGTACTTCTGGACAAGTATGTTAAGCCCAGCCAGAAGGTTGTTGACTACAGGACACAATATTCAGGGATTCGAGAAGCTGATTTAAAACATGGCAAGTGCTTGAAACGTTACTGTTTTATGAAATTAATTACTTGATATACTCTCAGTATTGTTTAAGAGATCATTTAGTTGAAAAGTACACAAAATTTATGTATTTAGATGTATTGAAAGATATACATTTTTAAGAACTGACACCTTTCAGCTAACTCCCACAAGAATTATAAAACCCATTAAAATTTTTTGAGAGGAATTCGTTAACCCATTGGATCAATGCGACATGGATGTGGTCATGAAAATATTGTCCGTGGGGCAGTTGATGGGGAACATATCATGAGTGTGCAAAGCCCTTTGAGGGAGACTGACTCATCAGGCCTTCAGGAAGAGAATCATTTGCAAATTCCTGTAGGATTTTATCTAATCCATGAGGATGAAGTTTACCAGCTGTCAACCATACCTGGGAGAAGGCTGTTTCCAGGGAGGACATTACATCCACACGCTTGACTTTATTCCAACCCGTTGTTACCGGTGCTGTAGCTTACATTACAGAAAATGGAATACAAAAATATGAAGATAACTCAACAGAATGTTACTTGTTGTTACTATCTGCAGAGATAATTTGGAGTCTACACAATAGAAACAATTATTATTTTGATACAGTATGACAACTGAAAAATATAGACCAAAGAAAATAAAAAAACAAGATAAAGGCATCTGCAGGAAAAGGAATCTTGATAACCCATGCATGTCCATGAAGACCAGGCCTACAAGCCTACAAGGAGAGTTGCAACTCAAGGATGCTAAATGGTCAGATTTTGGTCCAAGCGCTCTGGGTGGAACCAGGATCCAATTGGTTCCCGCAAACTATGATAGTGGCATGACAAGCTTAGTCTGGAACTTGCAGCAGGCTCAAAGTTTCCTAAACTGCCTAAACACCCAAAATGAATATTATTAGGGAAAAGAATGAAAAAACATACAATGACACTGAAAGCAAAAATTCTATATTATGTTAATGGCTTGTAAGGTAACAATAAACTGATTCTAGCAACCCTATTTTGTAGTAATGGTTACTCTATGGTGTGGACGTACTAAGCTACCCAAGAGCCAAGTGAAAAGAGCAAAAACTTGCACTAATTGGTACAGGAAATAATCTGGAGACTTGAGCTATAACATTACAAATAAAGGAAGATGATCGTAGAAAGCGCCACTTAAAGCTAAAGTCCAGTCAGTGCTCATGAGTTTCAGCTCCTATCTTGCCATGCTTGTGGAGGTGAAGACAGTATTTGCTGGAAGGTTTTGGGGGTGTGGAACAACCTATCATCCCCCTCACCCTCAGTCAATGTCCTTAGTTCATACCCAGTCAAGGCAATTTAGATCACTGATTTGATATATTAATTTTGTGGTGTGGAATTGGGGACTCTTGCGAGTGTGTCCATACTGTAAAGTAGAAATATTTTTTCCTCTCCGCAAATCTACTGTTTATTAATGAGTTTTGAAATGTATGTATATAAATATTGAAATGCAGTTATTTTCAGTGCATCAAGTTTAGCTTCGAAAGAGCTTGTGTCATTAATTTTTGAAATGTAAAAATAGGGTAGAACTTATTTTCTGGAAAGCAGTTAGTATGACTGGCATTTAGAAAAATCTTTATCATAGTTTATTTCACAATGGCTTCAAATGTGGCAAAATTTATGTACCCAAAATTTGTCATTTTTAAGTTTTCCATCAGTTTGAATTGCATCTTGAAAAGTGGACTGGAATTTAAGAAAAAGGACTGCAGTCTTGCAGTAGCCACTAACATTCTGAATAAAAGGATCACACTTTCAGCTTCATGGCTTAGATATTTTATACAGCATAGGCATTTGTTACCCCCCCCCCCCCTTTTTGTGGTGGCAGTGGTTGACTTCAATAAAAAAACAAGCTTTGGCTGCTCAAGAATGTAAGAACAAAACTGGAACAAGAGTATAGGATTCTCTCTAAATCCCTGAAATCAGCATGGTCTCAATATATGTTTAAAAGCACATATTACATTCAAAATTTTCATTGCTAAAACCACTTCCTTATAGATTATAGTTACTAGGAAAATTATATCAAATTAAAATTTTGCTTCCAATAGCATGACATAATTTTTTTTTTTTTTTTTTTTTTGCCCTTCTGTTTATATTGTTCATGCATTTGCCAGTAATCCCACATATTCAAGATCTAGCCTTACTAGTATTGTAAATTAAAGAAAAGAAAAAATTGCTTTCTCTAGAAGTGATTACTCTTGTCACAGGGACTTTCATAGTCCCACATTAGCAAACAAATAGACAAGTCATAGGGCACCTCCAAAGTCATGGGGATGGTTATAAGTAATTGTGTTAATCCTTTTATAATGTTGGAGTATATATTTCTTATGACTGTCACAATCATATTTGATTATATATAGTTATTGACACAAATATTATCGATATATGTCAATAACAATACATTCATATGATTGTCACAATCATACTTGGTTATAGACTTTTTATTATTGATGCATATATATATTGTTATTGACATGTATAGATATTATCTATATATGTCAAAAACAGTATAGTCAAGTATCAATAACAACAAATATATAACCAAGTATGATTTTGACAGTCATATGAAATGTATATTCCAGTATTGTAAAAGAATTAACATAACTACTTACTACCATCCCCATGGCTTGGAAGGTGTCCTATGACTTGTCAATTTGTTTGCTAATGTTATACTATAAAATTCTTATTTTTGAATCCCTGGTGACACTGTTCCTCAACACATAGACTATATACGAAATTCATTGCAAAAATTAGAATTGAAGGAAAACCCTTTTGTAGTTTTATTTTAAAATTCTTCAGCTAGAGTTTAGCTATAATCCAATACCTAGAGTTTAGCTATAATCTAATAGCAGATTTATTTTAAATTTCTTAAAAAATTCAAACCTTTGACCTAAAAAAATCTTGTTTTTGAAAATATCTTATGTATGTGATTGTAATGATAGTATATCTTCATAATTCTGTAATAACCTATTTTCCAGAAACATGTAAAGTGCTAGTGATCATACTGTGGATTAAGGCTGTCAGTAGCACCAGTATTGTAATTAGAATGCACGTTTTTTTCTACTGTCTGGTATTGTCTACAGACTTATTATGTTTCTAAATCAGATTTTTGCACTAAAACAGGATTAGATATTAAGTAAGTCCATAATCTGGTTATGGAGCATATTCATTTCATATTCCTTCCTTTATTTTGATGTATGTTAATCACTACAGGGGAAGATTTTAGCCATGTCAGGAAGCAGGTGCTAGAGATACTTAAGGGGAGAATATTGGTGGGCCATGCATTGAGGAATGACCTT